CCGGGGGGAGGCTCTGAGGGAGATGTTTGTCCTCCACTTGGCCTGGCCTCCTCTGGCTGTGGCGTGCAGAGGGGACCTGTGCTCGGTAAGGCTAGGGCTGTGAGTTCTCAGGAAGCCCCCCTGGGGGAGCTGGGGCTCTGATGCGCACAGTGCCCGCTGATGCGCCTCACACACACACACCCCAGCTGGCCCCCTGGCTGCGGCACAGCTGTTTCCGCCTGTCCAGCCCTCCCGAGCAGTTAGTGGTTACTTCCTGTTGTGTATTTTCCTGGCATTGCCCCCGAGTGTACAGCGTCGGCGCTGGGGACAAGGAAAGCGCTCAATGCGCTGGGTGAGGAGGCCTTACAAAAGCAGGGCCCAGCAGCTGGCCACCTGCCATGGTCACTGGGGGCAAGTGTCAGCAGGGAAGGGCTGTGGGCGCTGAGGTGTGGCAGAAACTTTCGCAGTCACCTGATCACTTAGAAAGGAGGGGCTGGAGTCCCACCTCCCTCTGCTGGCCAGCAGGACTGGGATGGGCTCCTGCTGCCAGCACTTAGTCGGAGGAGGGGCCGGGAAGGTCCGTGGCTCAAAGCCAGCAGCTGCCCCTCCTGAGAAAGATGACAGCTTCCGAGACCCCATGGGGCAGTTCGCCTCTGTCCTGAGGGTCACAGCTACGGGGCAGGTGGGCCAAGGGCAGCAGAAGCAGTGTGAGCCTGTGAGCGCGTTTACGCGCGCGCGCGCGCGCGCACACACACACGCATGAATGTGTGTGTGATTGAGTCTGTATGCAAATGTGCGTGTGTTTGTATAAGAGCCAATGTACAAGTGTGTGTGTGAGCCTGCATGTGAGTTTATGCTTGAGTGCATACAGGTGCTTGTGTGAGTGCACCTGTATCGTGTATGGTGCCTGTGGGAGGGGTCTATGTTGACATGCGTGAGTACAGTGTGTGTGTGTGTGTGTGTGTGTGTGTATCTGCGTCCGTGTCAACACACGTGTGGATGAGTGTATGTGTGGGAATGGATACAGAGAAGGGCCCATTCCAGTCTGTTGGCCACATCGCCGACCACGGTGCCTTTGCTGTTCTTGCCAGCGCCGCTCCCAGCCACCGCGGGCACCGCACACCGTGACCCCATGCACAACAGAAGGAGGCAGTGCCCGGTCCTGCGCCACCCTCCCCGGAGCCCGCTGTTGCAGCCACACGGTCACCCCATCTCCTCAGAGGTCTCCCTTCCTTCAGTGCCCCCCTCCTTTACCAAGCTTGATGTCTTTCCCCAGGGACTGGCTTCCCGGCAACACCGTCAGAGACACTGGTTTAGCATAGTAACCATAACCTGACGGTGCGTTGATCCCTGGGCAGAATAAGGATGAAATGTAACAGAAGTTTCCCACCAAGATGCCTAGTCCTTAGTATGAGAGAGAGAGTCGGGATAATCGTTGGACCTTATAAAACGTTGACTGAAGAGAGTATCCCCCCGCCCCCAAGTGACCTCACAACAAGAAGGGTGCTTGGTGTTCGGATAGACTTCCCATTAATCGGAACAGGACCTCTCTCGTGGGATGTTGGCCTGCTCTGAGGTCTGCACGCAGTCAGCCGGGGCCAGTGATGGCCCTGCTCATCCCCAGCAACAGAGGGGCCAGAGGAGAGCCGGGAACTGGGGGGAGACACGTGTGCTGTGCCGGGCTACCTCCAAGAACAACCATCTCCCCAAAGCTA